ATGGGGTGCAGTGGGGTTCTGGGGGGTGCAGTGGGGAATATCGGGGTGCAGAGGGGCAGTAGGAGGTCTGGGGTGCAGTGGGGGATATCAGGCTCTGGTGGTGCAGTCGGGGATATCGAGGTGCAGAGGGGCAGTGGAGTTCTGGGGAGTACAGTGGGGGATATCGGGGTCTGGTGGTGCAGTGGGGGATATTGGGGTGCAGAGGGGCTGTAGGAGGTCTGGAGGTGCAGTGGGGGATATTGGGGTGCAGAGGGGCAGTAGGAGGTCTGGAGGTGCAGTGGGGGATATCAGGGCATGGGGTGCAGAGGGGGATATCGGGGTACAGAGGGGGTAGGAAGTCTAGGGTGCAGTTGGGAATATTGGGGCATGGGGGTGCAGTGGGGTTCTGGGGGTGCCATGGGGGATATCAGGGTGCAGTGGGGGGTGCCTGGCAGTGCAGTAGGGGATATCGGGGCCTGGGGTGCTGTGGGGTTCTGGGGTATAGCGGGACGCGGTTCCCTTACCTGGCCGAAGTGGGCAGGGTACCCCAGCAGGTGGATGTAGAGCAGTTTGGTGAGGTTGGCGGTGCCGGCCTGGGGGTCCCCGGCCCGAATGGCCCCCCGGATCCGGGCACACTCCCGCTGCACCAGCTCCCGCTCCACCGCCTGCGTCCGCGCCCCCCGCACCCTCCGGATCAGCTCCGGGAGCGTCAGGAGGGGGTCCCCCATCCTGGGAGGAGAGGGAGGGGGTTACCCCCGAGACACAGCCGCCCTTAACCGAACCCCACCACCCCGTATCCCAGTCCCCCCTCACTCCCTCCCCCCACACCTGGGCCCTGTCTCCTCCCCATCACCCTTCCCCCACTCACCACGTCTCTCCCCCCACTTCCTTCCCCCCCATAGGTCCCCCTGGGCCCCATTTCCCCCTCCATGGCCCCATCCCCCCACTTCCCTCACCCGCCACGTGCACCTGGGCCCCCTCCCTCTTTGTCCCTCACATTCCCTTCCCCTCCCCCCCGACCCCTCCTGGCACATCCCTGGGCCCTTGCCTCCCCCTCACCTGGCTGCTCTCCTAAACCAGCCCCTCCCCCTCCATCTCTTCAGGACGGGGGGGCTCCGCTTCCTGCCCCCCGCTTACCTGCCTGTCTCCAGACTTCCGCAGAAGACCTCACCTGTGCGCTGCGCTCACCTGGCGCCCGCCGCCCCCTGCTGGCCGCGGGGCAGAACTCCACCCATGGGGCCGGAGAGGGACTGGGGAAGTAGGGGGATGGGGGCAATAACTGAGGGGTTAGGGGTTCTGGGGGGTTTCGGGGGAAGCCTTTGGGGGGGAAACCAGGGGGTACTGGGTTTTCGGGGGGGGTCTGAGGAAGAAGGAGGGGCTTTTGGAAGAGCTGGGATGGGTCGGTTCTTGGGGGCGCTGTGGCGCTGGGATGCGGGGGGCCCACCCAGGAGGAAGGAGCCTGGCCCATCCCCCTTCGACCCCAGCCTCGGAGGGGGTGTGGGGCTAGGGGCAGCCCCCAGGCTCTGCCGACACTACAATCAGGGACACTGGGTAATGAGGGGCTGGGAGCCTGCCCGGACTCCTGGGTTCTCGCCCTGGCTCTGGGAGGGGAGTGGGGCCCAGTGGGTTGGAGGTGGAGGCTGTGGGCCCAGACTCCTGGGTTCTCGTCCCCTGGGAGGGGAGGGGAGTCTAGTGCTTACAGTGGGGAGGGGGGGGATGGGAGCCAGGACTCCTGGGTTCTAGCCCCAGCTCTGGGAGGGGAGTGAGGGCTGGTGGGTTAGAGCAGGGGGGGCTGGGAGCCAGGACTCCTGGGTTCTAGCACCAGCTCTGGGAGGGGAGTGGGGGATGGTGGGTTGGAGGTGGAGGCTGGGGCCCGGACTCCTGGGTCCTCTCCTAGACTCCTTGGTGCTGAGCGATGACGGGCTGGGGGTGCTACTGGTGGGGGCGAGCAACCCATGGCCTCTCTCTGGTTGTGGGAAATAACAGCTCTCCCTCAGAGCCCATGGTCCAGCCCCTCCCCCACCCCTGGGCTGGAGTGGAGGTGGGGGCTGGAGTTGGGGGGGCTGAGCCCAGGGTCTGTACAGAGTCAGGGTCCCCGGGCCATGCCGGGTCCCCTATGCCCACGTCATTACAACATCTCCCCCCCCATGTAGTATCCCCCTTGAATTGACCCCCCTGAGTCCCCCATCACAGACACAGGCCCTGGCTCCATCCTTGCTTAGCCCCCAGCCCCTGGGGGAACCCAGTGCCTGAGCCCAGCCCCCCCCCCCCCAGGGTCTCCC